TCACAGAGGGCTGGTCGAATTAATGAGTTAACCATTACTAGAAGGAGATTGGAGTTGTAGGACCTATAATGTCAATCATATTCCTCCTCAAGACTAAGAAGCTTACAAAGCATTACTCTAGAGAAGGCATTAGAGAGAGTGTTCCAAGGACAAAAAAAAGCTACTCACATGCCTGGCTGTGTGTGACTGTGTATACATTGGGTAAATAGCAGAGATAACTCTGTTTTAGTTTCAATTATACCACTTAGTGACTACATACATACACAAAATGAGAACTGGCACCTGAATTCAGATTTGTTTCCTGGAATTCATACTCATACGATTATCAGAGCTAGAGGGAAGTTGTAGATCACTCATGCATTCCAGGAAGAGGGAACTAAAGGATTTCTTAGTGTTCCGTATCTCCATGAGAAGTTTGTTTGTTTGTTCTATTTGTTCATATAATTATTGCTCCTCCTGTCAAGAATTTAATGACACCCTTAAGCTGTGTTGGGTGTTTTAGACACAGAGGTGTAAACCACACAACTGCCTGGGAAGAGTTGAGGGCCTAGCTGAGGATGCCAGATGTGTGTATGCAAATCTGAGAACAAGTAAAAGAATCTAATTAAATACTTTCTCTTCTTTTCCTTCTCACTCAGCATTTCCTTCACACCTTTGCAAATTTTTAAAGAAAACAGACATTGAAGTACATGAGGAGCCACGATTCAGAAGCCGGCCTTGGATGTTTTAAAAAAATCACACACTTGTTTTCTGACCTATTTCACACAGGTTAAAGATAAATAGGGTGCTAAATAGGACAACCTGGTGAATTACTGGAAAAAAAATACCCGTAGAGGTACTGATGTTGAATGAGGTTTACTAGTCTGAGACGTGAACAACTTTTCCCTGTGTCCTGTTGAGCATTTTGAGAGTGGGTGAAGAGTGAAAAGGAGAGACTGCTCTGTGATAAACAAAATGCCATGGCAGTTCAAAATACCAAGCGTATACCTTCCACTAGAGGAAACAACAGGGGTTTTCTAAAGTAGAAGGAAACCAGATGTGACTTCCAAGATAAATAGGTAGGAACAGATGGAAAAGCATTCTCAATGCAGATATTAGAATAAGCAGATTAAGAATTCAACATTCTGAGTATTTCAGAAATTACTGGGAACAGGTGTTTGGCCTAATGCTTAAAATGACCATGTCCCACATCAGTGCCTGGCTTCTGGCTCCTGTTTCCAGCTTCCTGCTAATTCAGACCTTGGTAGGGAACAGTGATGGCTCAACTAGTTGGATTCCTGTCACCCTTGTAGGAAGCCTGGGTTAGTTCTGGCTCTTGATTTCCCTCTTCAGCTATTGCAAGCAGTTGGAGAAAGAACCAGTGATGGTGGGATAATTTCTCAAGGAATTGAGTCTCTGCCATCTACATGGGAGAATTCTCATCTGCTAGTTTCAGACAGCCATTGAGAGCATCAATCTGGGAGTAAACCAGAGAATAGAAGGTCGCTCTCTCATAAATATTTTAAAATTACCAACTTGATGTCTCAAATAATAGAAAAACACTGATGGGCTATTCTACAGTCCTGGCAACTATGAGGGTCTCTGTAGAGCTGCTGTACCTCTTGAGAGTTCATCTCAGACACCTCCGCTAAGCTTCCAGTCACCTGGAAGTACCAGTAACTTGGTGGGAGGGAGCAATATATCCTTTGGATTCAGAACTAGTAAATACTGGCCCTCACTCAAGTCTTAAGTGTAGTTTTATCTCACTGAATTGGTATTTAAAGCTTAGTTCTGAGCAAGGGAAAACACACTGACTTTCTTCTCCCAGTTAACTTGTTGCATCCACTCATCAGTTAAAATAGAATATGACAAAAACCAGTGACAGTCACACATGAATTTTATTGAAAATGAGAGGCAAATGAGAGACAAATGAGAGGCAAGGCAACCGATTAGGACCAACACTCCTTACCAGAGTGTGGCCCCCAACAGTGAGTTACATAGTTTTTTAGAGTATTTCCCGTCTACTAGGGCTCAAAATTTCAAACTGGACCCCTGGTATGCAGTGAACAATAAAAAAAAAAAACATAATATGGTTATAAGATAACAGTTGACAATAACAAACCCAATAACAGGTCCAAGATAATGGTTGTAAGATAACAGTGAAGGACACATTTCTGCCAACCTAGTTCCTGGGAATTTGGGCCCACATAGTTTCGCAAGATATACCCTTAGCCATTAGCAAGCAAAGCTAATATGCATAGAACCAAGAGATCTGCAATTAGCATTTAGCCACACTCACTCCATTTTGATTCTGATTCTACAAGCTCCCTGCGTCAGTGTCTTTACACTAAGGGATAACCTTGTACTACATTTTGGAATTCCCTTTCCTCTTACCTATCAACAAAGGATCACTTACTCCATACCTGGAGTGTAGACCATTAGCTGAACAAACACAGGATCTTTAACGTGAGTTGAAGAGGGAGGGAGCTCTAGTAACCAGGAGCCAGGATGCTGGCTGGGGCTCTGAAAGAGACAGTAGGCTGACAATGGGCCCTGGAGTCCGCATGGTGCTCTGTCAGTCTTGTGTGGTCTGCTATGTGTCCTGCTGTGGTCACCAAGATTGTTAACTGAAAAATCAATTTGGTTGTGAAATGAAAGTTGAAGTTTACTCAGCAAGACAAACTGAGGATTTAAACCCAAACAGTCAGTTGCTTGAGTTGGCTGTTTGACAAGCCTGAATTACAGGTTTTATACTTTTCTTACTGGGTGAGTATATGTGCTTACTTAGGCTTGCACAATACATATTTATATGTGGTGGTTATCAATCACATTGAGAATCAAACTCCTGGTAATAGCTAACAGACTTGATTATTGAGGAGGCACATTATCTACATGCAGAGAGAGGTGTTATTAATCACTCTTCCGACAATGGCCTGTGTTGGAAAGCTCAGTCCTTCTAAAGGTACGGTAGATATCTCCTTGCTCGTGGTTGACGCTTCCTTGGTCATGGTGGTTGCAATTTATTGTAAGGTTCTGTCACCCGGAACCAGCTGTAGAACATCTCTACAGCATGGACAGCATCCTCCTGACTTAGGCCTCTGTAGTATTTAAGTCTACAAAGGAAAAGGTTATTTTTTTGCTCAGGGCTTTGGAAGCCAAGATGAGGTGGACCCACTGGTCTGATATCTGATGAAAACAGTGAATTGTGGAATGCATATGGAGGATCACATGGTGAGCCAGGAGCCAAGGGAAGGGAGCATGCTCCTTCATGTGGTCTCTCCTTACAAAGCCACCATGACCCAATCACGGCACTCCACCCTAGCAGTCTAATCCAATCCAGTCTCTTTCCAAATGCCCCATGTTCAGACCTCACATTTGCACCAAGCCTCACCCTGTCAACACCATCAATCATGACTTCAGGATGCAAAAGTCCACATAAGTTGGCGAGCCAAATCCAGTTCACACCATAGCATAGTCACTATCTTCTTGAATGCCTCTCACTTACCTGACTTAGGAGGAAAGTAAATGCGTGAAGCTCTGAGAAGAGGCTTTGCTGATTGGTCAAGAATTCCAGAGGCCAGTGCCCTTTGGGGGCCATCATGGTCTTGAGTCAGCTGTCATGCTTACTGCCTGGAATAACCAAGTTTTCCAAAAGACTCAGCCAAGTCAAATTTTAGAAAACATTACACGGCTGGCGCCGCTGCTCACTAGGCTAATCCTCCACCTAGCGGTGCCAGCACACAGGGTTCTAGTCCCGGTCGGGGCGCCGGATTCTTTCCCGGTTGCCCCTCTTCCAGGCCAGCTCTCTGCTGTGGCCCAGGAAGGCAGTGGAGGATGGCCCAAGTGCTTGGGCCCTGCACCCACATGGGAAACCAGGAGAAGCACCAGACTCCTGCCTTCGAATCAGTGTGGTGAGCCGGCCACAGCGCGCCACAGCGTGCCAGCCATGGCAGCCACTGGAGGGTGAACCAACGGCAAAAGGAAGACCTTTCTCTCTGTCTCTCTCTCTCACTATCCACTCTGCCTGTTAAAAAAAAAAAAAAGAAAAAGAAAACATTACACAATCACACACCTGACAAAGATCTATGAAAAAAAGAATAAAAAAATCAACGTATTGATTTGTAATAAAAATCATCAATGTGGACAATATACTTAGGTATCCTAATTAACACATCCTCTTCACATGAACAAATAGGAAGATGTGACAAATGCTATTCTTTGTTTCCATATTCAGACTCTGAGCCCATTTTCCATATTGGAAAAATTCTTTACCTTACCGGTCATGGTGAAAAACAAAACTCTCTCAATATAATAGAAGCAAAAATTTTCAGATGTTCACTTACCCCCATGCTGTTCAATTGCACCTGGCCAGTTTATGAATTAGAAACTAGTGTTTAAAGTAAGGAGAAACCTTAAATATAACTTTCTAATGGGAGAAACAGTTGTGGAAAGAGCCAGTTCCACTAACAACTAATTACAATCATCAAGTTGCTACGAGTAATAAAGGATCAGAGCAAGGAGAGTTGGTGGCATGATATTACTGGATGATGTCAATTACTATGGACTACCTGCCTTCATTTATACTGTAAGATTTTGATGCTTGCAACCAAAGAATCGTAATGCAGACACCAAATTTTAAGCTTTTAAAATAAGGCTTCTCTCTGCTATTGCTTGGGAAAGCAGTAGAAGATGGCCCAAGTCCTTGGGCCCCTGCATCTGCATGGGAGACCTGGAAGAAGCTCCTGGCTCCTGGCTTTGGATCGGTGCAGCTCTGGCCGTTGCAGCCATCTGGGGAGGGAACCATCTGATGGAAGACTTCTCCCTCTCCCTCTCCCTCTCCCTCTCCCTCTCCCTCTCCCTCTCCCTCTCCCTCTCCCTCTCCCTCTCCCTCTCCCTCTCCCTCTCCCTCTCCTTTCTCTGTGGAACTCTGACTTTCAAGTAAAATAAATAAATCTTGAAAAAAAAAATAGGGCTTCACAAAGCACTAACACATTTGATCCTCACAATAACTTCAAAGAAGATACAGATGGTCCTCTAACTGATAATGCAGTTATATCCAGATAAGCCCATTGCTCAATTGCCAGTGCACTTAATGCATCTTAGCAATATAGTGCACTATATAGTATCAGTTATTTCCCCTCATGATCACGTGGCTGCTGTGAGGCTGAAGCTCACTGCTGCTGCTCAGCACTGCTCAAGAGTAACGACTGTATCCTTATCCTGGAAAAGATCAAAATCCAAAAGTTCATCTGTGATTTCTACTGAATGCATGCTGTTCTCATACCACTGTGAAGTTGAAAATCATAAATTGGGGAATGTCTAGCTCTCTGTTACACAAGTGATAAAATTAAGAATCAGGAAATTAAAACCGCCATAGGATTCTTGTATTCTATACAACAGGGTGAGAATGGCAATTTCAGGTGACAATGGAAAATAACATATTTTGTAATTTTTAAGGTTAATAACTAAAAGAATGATATAGAAAGTTAAAGCAAAATAGTAAAAGAGATATGTAGTGATGAAAGTGCTTGTTTAATGCAAATAAAGTCAGAAAAGCGGGAAATAAGAGATAAAGAAGGATCTATGTCACCAAAATTTTTAAAATCTTGATTATGGGGTCCTCCTGGATTGCGAACATGGCCGCGCGGTCGCTGTGGGCGGTCCGGCGGCGGGTGCAGCGCCTGCTGACCTCGAGTGCTGCGCGGGAGAACAGAGGATGGCTGCCGCCATTCAGCACTGCCACCCAGAGAACTGCTGGTGAGGACTGCAGTTCCGAGGACCCTCCAGATGAGCTTGGGCCATCTCTTACTGAACGAGCCCTAAGGCTAAAAGCTGTGAAACTGGAAAAGGAAGTCCAGGATTTAACAATAAGATACCAGAGAGCTGTGGCTGACTGTGAAAATATAAGGAGGCGGACCCAGAGATGTGTGAAGATGCCAAGATATTTGGAATCCAGAGTTTCTGTAAGGACTTGGTGGAGATGGCGGACATTTTGGAGAAGACTACTGAGTGCATTTCTGAAGAAACAGAGTCTGGGGACCAGACACTCATTCTGGAGAAGGTCTTTCGGGGGCTGTCACTCCTAGAAGCAAAGCTGAAAAGTGTGTTTGCCAAGCATGGCCTGGAGAAGATGGCACCCATCGGTGATAAATACGACCCTCATGAGCATGAACTCATCTGTCACGTGCCAGCTGGCGTTGGGGTGCAGCCTGGCACGGTGGCATTAGTAAGACAAGATGGCTACAAACTTCATGGTCGCACCATTAGACTTGCCCAGGTAGAAGTGGCAGTGGAGTCTCAGAGAAGACTATACATGGGCCATCAAGGAACTGCATGTTCTCCCAGAGCACAGCCACCTTTGTTTCCTTATTTATTAAACTAGGTTTGTATTGTACATGAGGTACTTCATGTGATCTGTTTTGGATTTAGTCACATTGGCTTTATTTCTCAGATAGTCTTTTGATTTAATGCGACCTGTTCGGTCTCATCAGAAGTCTTGCCGTTGGGCATTTGAACAATGTGACAAGTGTTCCTACAACCTTTGTCAAAATATGTTTATGAAAATTATTTTTAAATTGGTACTCTGATGACTTTGAATCCAAAATCCTTATAACTGTAGTTTCAACTAAACATTCTTTCCTAAAAAAAAAAAAAATCTTGATTATGGTAATGGTGGTATAATTGGTCAATCTACTAAAAAAATCACTTAGTTATACACTTACAAGGATGAATTTTAGTTATTTAAAATATATCTCAGTAAAGTTGCTTAAAATAGAATGAATTGGATAAATAGGATGTATCAAGATGGTAAACTTAATCCATTCCTACCAGAAATTGGGTTTAATGTAAATATGCCAAATGTTCTAAAGCAAAGATTGCCAGACTGAATGAAAATGAGACCCAAACATATGCTGTTTATAGAAAACATATCTTTATTTTTAAAATTAACTTGTAAACATTGCCCATATTTATGGTGTACCATATGTTCAGAAAACAAGCTTTAAATGCAAAAACACAGACAGGCTGAAAGTAAAAAATAGAAAAAGACATACCATGAAAACATATTTTTTACAAAGCTGACATAGTTTTAACAGTATCTGAGACTATATTCTTTGCTTTTTACTTTGAGAGGCAGGCAGGCAGGGAGGGCTAGCTTCTGCTGATCCACTCCCTACACGTCCAGACTAAAGCCAGGAAGTCAGCCCAGGTCTCCTACATGCGTGGCAGGACCCCAGGTACTTGAGAAATCACCCTCTGCCTCTGAGGGTTTGCATTAGCAGGAAGCTGGAATCGGAAGCCAAGCTGGGAACTGAACCTAGGCACTCTGATACCAATCACTTAGTCTCACTCCTGACAATAGATTACTTAAGGTGAGAAGTACGATATGAGATATTGAGGAATATTTATTTGTTGGTGATAAAAGAGCCAATTCAACATGAAAATACACTGGATTGAACTCGGTTCTAAGAAGAAATGAGCTATCAGCTGTGCTTGGGTGCAGGCACAGCTGCACCAGGCAGTGAGCATCTGCCCGTCTGGGGCATTGCCTTGGCCTCCTCCCTTGCCATGCCAGGTGTGGGCAACCTGGGCAGGCTGGGAGCTGTGGATGGCCATACAGCGCCGTCGGGCGGCCCGCCCACTGCCCTCATGCCTATGCAGACCAGGAGACAGGGCCCGAGGAAAGTGAGGAAGAGAGAGGTGAAGGCCCTTGGCCTGCATCCATGTTCCCAAGGAGACTCCAAGGCAATGAGTGAGGTACAGTCTGGGAGGCTGGCAGGGTGCTACGACGTTTCACTTGTGATGCCCACAGCGCTCTTGCTTCTCTGTCTTCCAGGTGAGGGTGTCTCCATGCAGCAGAGACTTGGGGACAAGTGCCAGGGCCTGCTCAGCCAGCCATCTGTCTTAGCTCTCTGCTCAATCCAGAAAGGCAGAGGCGTTGCACGTTGAAGGCCCTGGTGGAGCCCAGAGCCGGCTGGGCTTGTCCAAGCATCTGCTTTCCAAATTCCTACTTTAGAGGTGCAAACAATGAGACGTGCCTCTCACAAGGTCCTTCTGGCAAGCCCTGAGTCCGGCTTGGAAATGACCTCCTCCAGCAGGGCCTCCCTGCTGACCCTTTCCACCCTCTCCCCTGCATCTCCAGCCTTGGAATGGTGCTGCACTTGGGAGTGAGCTCCCTGGCCCTCCAGACCTCCCCACAGGCGGGGTGGGGGCAGGGGGAGTGTGGTCCCAGGCCCTGGAGGAAGAAAGCTCGAGCTTGCAGCCTGGGTCATGGACCCTGGGACACCTTCCTCTCAGAGCTTCAGTCTCCTCATCAGCTTGATGAAGGTGACCAGGAAGCAGGACACATGATAGATCTGTGGCTGCTTGGGGCTTGACCAACCTGGCATGGATACAGAAGCTGCTGGACTTGTAGGCAGAGACCGGGGCTTCTTCAGTGACATGCTGCCTACACTGCAGGCCTTCTTCTACTCGTTGCAGGGCAAGGAACCATCAGTGTGTCAGTTGGTCCTGCTGCACTTTGGAATACCATCACCATCAGTGGCCGTTGTGCAGGTGCTGGTGCTACTGCAAGGTGTCCATGAGTCCAAGGATGTGACCGAGGACTACTTGCTCCTGGAGACACTGATCTAGAAGACATTGTCACCCCCGCAGGCATGTAAGGGCTCTACTCCAGCAAAGGGCCCCGTACCCTGCCTGCACCCTGGAGAAGTCTCTGCTGCACTGCTACAGGATGCAGCGGACAGACATCCTGGTCAAGAACCTGGTGGTGTGATCCAAGAGCTACACCATGCTGCAGCTGAACGCCCAGGCTGAGCACTAGGAGGAGGGCACTGTGGTTGGTGGCCCCAGCATCCGCAGGTACCCCATGTCTGAGATGACTGGCTCTGAGCACCAGGACTTCATCAATGTTTCAGGGCCTCCTCAGCCCCCTACTCAGGGCCCTGGCCCAGCTGACTCAATAGGGTCTGGGCCTGCCCCATGGCTCCCCTACCCACTTCCATCCCAGAGACCCTGGTGGACCTGATCTTTGAGTCTGTAGACTCAGATTCCAAAGGGATTTTCATTGACTTCGGTCAATGGCCAATGGTCAATGACTCTGGCTTGTCCAGTTTTGAGGGGGCCAGGCATGGTAGAGTGTCCTGTGAGATCTCAAGTTTTTACTGATCCCTGTGTATCCATATGCATGTCCATATGGTACGTGTGGGCAAGACTTTTTTACCCTGTCCCTTCCTCGTCAGCCCATTTGGACCTTTTGGTCACTTTATGTTCTTGAGTCCTCGCTGGAAAGTCTGCCACTCCTGGGAATGGGGAAGGGAGCACAGAGGAACTGTTAGCAGACTTCATGTTTGTGTCTCCCTAGGATTCATGATGTTGGTGCTCCAACCTCAAGTGTGATGATATTTAGTTGGAGACGGGCCCTTTGGGAGATAATGAGGGTTAGACAGGGCATGGGGGTATGGGTGGGGTCCCCATGATGGGACTGGTGTACTTACAGAAAGAGACACCAGGGGGCTTGGGCACTCTCTCTGCTATGTGAGGATACAGTTAGTAGACAGCCATCTGCAGGCCAGGAAGGACTCCTCATCAAAATCAGACCATGTCAGCACCTTGACCTTGCATTTCCAACCTTCAGAACTGTGAGAAAACAATTTTTTTATGTTTGAACCATTCAGTCCATGGTATTTTGTTATTGCAGCCTGAGCTAAGACAAGAAACTTAAACACACAATCACTAGGTGAGGGAAGCCAGTCTGAAGAGGTTATGCATATGGCATGACTTCAACTGTGTGACATTCTGGAAAAGGCAAAACTACAGTGACAGTAAAAAGATCCGTGGTTACTAGAGTTTAGGGTTAAGCATGAGGGAGAGTTGAACAGGCAGAGCACAGAGGGTTTTCAGGGCAGAGAAACTATCCTTTATGAGACTATAATGGTAGATACATGTTTACACATTTGTCAAAACACATAGAACATACCTCACTAAGAGAATGAACCATAATATAAACCACAACTTGAAGTGTTGATGTGTCAGTGTGGGTTCATCAGATGTAAGGAGTGTGCAACTTTACTGTGGGATGGCAGTGGGCATGGAGGCTGTGCATGAGCGAGGACCAGGGCAATATGGGAACTCTTTCTTCTTCCTGCTCAATCTGTGTGAACCTAAAAATGCTCTAAGAATAAAGTCTACTTTTTAAAACCCTCAATGTATCTAATAACGTAGCTTCAAAGTATCAGAAATAAAAGTTGATAGAACCAAGAGAAGAAACAAAAGAATATACAACCATCTCTGTGTATTTTAACAATACCTTCTAGTAATTATTAAAAACAATTAGGTGACAAATCAGTAAAGATACTGAAGAGTTCATCAATACAATAAGCAATAGTTGCTATTTTGAAAAAATTGGGTATATTCCTACACTTGATCTTAGCCAAAAGGCCGAGAAACGATGGGTATATTCCTAAAAAGAGAAACTTTGCTTGAAGTTTACCATGCAACCTCCAATGGTCAGCATGCATTTTGCATATCAAGAATGTGGACTCCACCATGTCTAAACCTGTAAAATGGATATGATTTAAAAAATACACCTAGACTTAGAAGATCAAGTGAGACAGTCTATTCTGGAGCTCAAACAAGTAAGCTACACAGTAGTAGGTAAAATTTCCTATTCTTGGACAGAGAGCTTCCAGGTGTTTTGTTTCTGGACATTGGACATTTTAGCCTCTGAGTCTTCAAACGTTTTCTACAGATGACAATGCCACCTGGCAGCAGGGTTTGCAGTGGATTTTGGACACGTGGCTCAGCAGAGAGCAAGGCTGTAAGCACTTCTGGTTTTTTCCTGCACAATCACTCATCATTGTGCCAAACCTCTCAGGACAAATAAATGTGGCCACCTCAGAAGATTCCACTATACAATTACACTTGTGGCGTCATGCTGATCTGTGCTTTCATTTTCACATGCATAGCTGATGGAATGAGAAGGCCATGCCAAGATGGCCGCTGGCAAGCAAGTTACTCAGGAATGGCTTCGGAAACTCCCTGGGAAACCCCTGGCAATGGAGCCTGCCTGGCAGTAGGCTGTGATTAGTTAGGGCATAAATCGCCCCTTGATCAGATTGGCTACCTTGGCTTTTAAGCTGCTGTACCAACTGAAATAAACGAGTCTGCCGGCTGCTCACTTTCACCGACTCTCGGGGTCTGTGTGCTGACTTCAAGCCTCTTGACCCCACCACGCTCCTCCTCTCAGAACGAATCCACAGCAACACAAAGCCTTTTCCCTGTCTGGTCCAAATTTACTATTTGATAAGGACCCCAGTCATACTAGATCACGGTTTATAATAATGACTTCATTTTATCGCGATTACCTCCTGGAAGGCCCTATTTCTACATAAGGTTGGA